TACAAATTGATTAAGTATCTCATCTTGCAGGATCTTTCAGACAAACAATATAGCTTTTTGTTTTGCCATGACAACTGTTGATGTGTTAACAGTTATTGCTAAAAGAGCCTATCAAGCTTTAGATAAGAATGGTGAAGCTTAGGCTGTTGCTTTGGTTATCTTGAAGATTTTTGACAGGATTTGGAATACTAGTCTTCTTTAGTTGAAAGGTTATGGTGTTTCTGTTCAAATTTTTGATCTGATTCAATCTTTCCTATCAAAGTGTAAAATAAAAGTTGTCTCTTCTAGATCTTTTAGCATTAATGCAGGTATCCTCCAGAGCTCTATCCTTGAACCTATGTTGTTCTTAATTTTCATAAACAACCTTCCTTATGTCATCAGTTCACTCAACTTGCTATCTATGCTGATGACATTAAGATGGAAATAAATAGTTATGACTAATTAGTTCACTAAGCTGGTCTCAAAAATGAATTACAATCTGTTTTTAACTGAGGCAAGAAATAGCTTGTAACACCCCCAAGATAAAACTGCTCCTTTTTAATCATCAGAGAGAACCTTTTGTCTTCCACCAGCATGGCTGATGCTAACCTCCAGAAGAGTGACTTCCCAGGCTAACATTTTCCACCGACATGAAGTGGAATGATTATACTGAATCAACTGCAAGTTCTGCGGCTAGGCAAGTTGGTTCAGTGTTGTGCTAAACAATTTTTCTTCAACAGAATCTATCTTACACATCTGCAAGCCTACCATTCACCTATGCAGTGAATATTGCTGTCACATCTGGTCTGCTGGTTCTGCTATTATGGTGGTTCTATTTTATCAAGAATCTCTAAATTCTTGATAAAATACAAAGAAGAATCTATGTTATTGGTCTTGACCTGATATCTTGGCTTCAGTTACTTTTCCATGGACATAACACAACTTGCGTCTTTTCTATAAATATTTTCATGGTAATTGTTGTCATGAGCTTTCCCCTTTGGTATCTTGACTTTATGAATTTAAGTGCAGTACTAGATTGACAGCTTGGTACCCTTATTTTACAGTTGAAATTGCTAGATGTAACCATAAGTTCAATGCCAACAGTTTCTTCTCTCATACTTCTCACTTGTGGAACTCCCTTCTGGCCTCTTGCTTTCCCGTCAAACTTGATCATCAAAAATTTAAATGCAATGTCAATTGTTACCTTCTGTCTCCTTAATTCCTGTTCTTTTATTGTTCTCTTCTTAATGTTTTGCTTTTTCTCATTCTTTTACACACTTGCATTTTAGTGGTTTTATTGCCTTGCTTGGCATGAAATGATAAAAAAAAAAGTACTTTATAAAATTATGTACGAGAACAGGAATACTATATCATATCTTATACAAATGTTTCTTATTATAATTAAGGTGGCAAGAATTTAAATATTTTTTAAAAATATGTAAAATCATGTTATAAAATCAAGAAACCCAAAACTAAATGAGATAATTTGGGAAGTGGAATTTAAAATATATTAGATAAAAACTTGCTGTATCTTCATTTTTAGTCAATAGTTTTCAAATAAACATTTTTTTTTTTTAAATAAGAGGCAAATACATTAACCCATTGAAGAATTTTCACTCTTATGTTACCTCATGGATGACATCATTTAAGAGCATGAAAAAAAAAAAAAAAAAAAAAAAAAAAAAAAAAAATGAAACAACATCTATTTTTCCTTGATCTTCATAATGGCCAAAAGTGAGATCAAAAGTACTAAATCTCAAATGTTTAGACAATATTTGGATCCTGATGTGTGTTCTCTTTTATATAAGCAACTAAAGTAAAGTATAAAAAAAAAAAATTAAAAGCAAAACATTCCTTATCTATAATATTTAATCAAGTTTGTATTTAAAAAAAAAAGAAAAAAAAAGAAAGAAAGAAAAAAAAAAAGAGTGCTGTCTAAATACACACAGACACATACACTTTCCAATGATATATTGTAACAAACATTTCTCAAAATGACAAAAGAGAATATTTTTGGAAATCTCTTCTTGGCTAAAGACATCTTTACAGCACACCCTTTTGAAATGCTTCATTATTTCTCCAACAGTCTTCATCTTTGTTATTCAGATCACTATTTTTTGGTTAATTTGCTCTACTTTCCCTCATGTCTAGAAAATCACCAATTTCACCTAGAAGTTTTAAATCTAATAATTTTTCTATGGTGTCAGTCAAAACAATTCACAGATCCAAGTGAAAATTATGTGTCCTACATTTAAATTTCCTTCTAAATTAAATATTTATAGTGGAGAATAAATTTCTATTGCTGTGAATTTTTCTAATCAGTTTTAACAAAAGTTTAAAAAAAAAAAAAAAATAAATTGCAGATGAGAAACAGACTTCTATTCAAATGGGGTGTACACCTGAGAAAAGGACATAACACCTAAAATGAATCAGTGTTCAAAACAAAAATATTCAAATAATTTATAGAATGATTTTTATTTTAATACTTCATGGAACATAAAACAAAAAAATTCACATTTCAGATATTCACTTATACTTGTTAGCAACTGACCTTTTTTTTTATGAATTTTAAAAATCTATACCTGGTGGCCAATTCGAATGAAAACTGATTAGTTGGTGTGAAATGCTTACATAGCCAAGTAATTTGGATTTTACTAGCATATCAGTACTCAAATGCCTATATTTTTTTTTAAAGCCTATAGAAAATGTGAATTGAAAGATGTTGACAAGAAATCAAAATAAAAAATTTAGAGAAAGAAGAAAAAATGCCAGCCTAAAGAAAATAGAAGTATTTCAAAGACACAGTTAAGTTTCCTTAAGTGGAATGTCGAAAAAACAAACTGACCATGGGATGAAATCCACATGAGACTAGACAGATAAAAGCTGAACAAAGATTTCTTTGGGGACAAAATGATGAATCACTGTTGTAGATAATTAAATTTTCTCTATTTGTAGGATGGACAAATAATTCTTGAGGAAATAAATAGGTGAGGAGAGGGTAAATTTATGGGCAGATAGAAAATTGGATGCAGAAAAAAATAATTTGACCAGATAATGTTAATTGGCTGAGAGAATCTAGTTGGTGACACAGCCAGTATGAAGTTTTTCTTACTCATGAACACATGAAAACTGGGGTGGTGGTTGAACAAGCCAAATTTAGAAACAGCTTGGAAAATTAGGAGTTTTTAATAAGTCAAATTATCCCAGCCATGAGTATATTTCAATATATGCAAGTGAATACAGGCCCAAATTATTTGAATTGTTGAATTGACTACCAGTCACTAGTCCAAGATATTGCTGTGTTTTATTTTTTTTTGTTTTGAATAATACTGACAACAACTTACCAACCGGCCATAGTTAGGCAGACTATAGCACTGCAGATGTGGCATGTGCTAAACTGATAATTGTAGCTATCAACAAATAAAATTATTAAAATTAAATTACTAGCAAGAGCAAGTTGTCAGTTCTGAAAGACGCCTTTTTTCTTACCCTCTTCTTTCCTGAGGACATTTCAATTAACTTTACTTAAAAATCCTCAGATCAAAAACTAATAACATAACATGGGTGGAAAAGAACAACTGATGGAGTAAGACCACATTACCAAGAAGCAAGGGGGTACTATTATACTTTCTTTTAAAAAAATGTGTTTCTTACAAAATAGTGATAGCTGCATTTTAAAATCTTTAAACTAATTTGAATTTTTCACAAGCCATTGAGATTTTGCTAAAGAATATGCTACCATTGGCATTTAAATAGAAATTCACCCATGTCAAGAACATTACCTCAAACATTGATGACAGCAGTATTAACAAATGATGAGCAAGATTTCTATTGTGATGATTTAGACGAAAGTATTTCATGATTTAGCTAATGAAAATTAAATTTCCAATCTGCCCAGCCATAGAAGATACTGATTGATTGCTTAGTTCACAATTTTGAATGCTGATTTTTTTCCTGCTCAAAATATTCCTTTATCACCTGGCTATGATAAATTGTAGTGATTTTTTTTTTTAACAAGGACAAACTAATCTTTATAATTAGTTTTCCTCAATTTAGCTTTATTTTATAAATACATAAATATCAAGTTTGCATCTTGTATTCAAAATCATCTACAATATACATTTCAATATTCTACAGAGGGTACCAAAAGTGTTAAATAGGAACGAATGAATAAAATGTGTTAGCATTTTATTTGTTGAGAAAGTTTAATGCATGAAATTCTAACTGAAAGAAAAAGATTTTTAAAAACTATACACAACATTAATTTTATCACAAAATAACAAGAATATGCTGCTAACGAAGTTCAAGACATAAAAATTTTAATTTAAAATTTTGTATTTTTAAAACAGTTTACTCTTTTGTATGATTTTGTTAGATTAAATCAAATTATTTTGATTAGAAAAAAAATGTGAGAAATCCAATTAATATATTGATATTTTTTAAATAAATTCATAATGACTACTGATTGATTGGCTAAGCTCCTACTGAAGTAGAATCAGATGTTAAGAGAACTCACCAATAACAAAGACAGGTTGAACAAGTGAACAAGAAGGAGGGGCTGGAATCGACTTGGACCATTGAGAAGTTGTGCAGTGCCAGGACTGTAAGGAGCCAACCAATCAGCGCTTAGTTACAGCAACATCTGCTGCATCCTACACTGAGTGTTTGATTTGCTGCTCCTGTCATCAACTGTTGTGACACACCTTTGCTCCTCTTACCAGAGAAACTGCAGCTGGACTGATGACAAGTTTAGTAATAATAATACACAAGATATAGAGACAGTCACACACACTGCTAGTGGTTGGTATAATTATCACATGTTGCTGCTGCTGCAAACGCAATCTTCTTCCAAAAGCCAATTCTGCAGATGTTTCCCCAGTAGACTGTTGATGCCAGCTGCTGTCAGTTGTGGTATTAAGTTTGAAGACCTAGCACTTAAGTCTTAATTCAATTTTTAGCTATTTTTAAAAAAATAAAATTAACTTTCAACTACTACTAGAAAAAGACTAAAAAATGTATACCTTTCTGTGGGGATAACCACTTTCACAACAGCATTGGCTAAAGTCTGGAGAGATGCATTTGGAAAACGTCAATTAGTTAAATCACCAAGGAAACAGCAAAACATATATATAAAAAAGCTTGATATTAAGAGTACTAATTATATTCTTAATAGAAGCAAAAATAATTAATTTATGAAATAAATTTAAAAGTTAAAAATATTACAATCTCATAAAATAAACAATGAAAGTAAATTTTAGTGCCCACTTCTAATCAATAAAGATTTAAATCTATGAAGGAGTTACTCAAATATCAAGCTTAAAATGAAATTCATGTGAAATGTGTATGGTAATTTTTACCTTTTCAAATTTTTAACATGAATATTTAATTCTATAAGATATGCAAACAAGATAATTTCAAAAAATTAATTTTTAACAAGATTAAATGTAAATTTAACACTCAAGATAATTTTTCACATGTGAATTTTTAGCATTAAAATATCTATACATAAAATAGACTTGAAAAATTAGGAAGTTCCAACTATTGTTTAATTATGTTCTGGAGTTTAAAATGTGATGTCTTTAAAAATATTTGAAAAATTTTAATGCTAAATACAGAACACATTTCACATAATTAAGAAATCAACAAAAATATGAAAAATTAACTGTGGTCACAATGAATTAGTGTAAAAATACCAAAACACAAAATTACAAACATCAATTTGAATATTAATGACATTTTGAAATAAGTAAATATACAACTATAGTCACATAATTATGTAAATAAAATAAAAATATTTAATCCTAAGATAACATTACTATAATATGCATTTGTAAAAACAAAGTTGTTTAACAATTTTATCAATAACCCAACAATGCATCCAAGTTACAGCAGATACATACACATGAACAGGTACAAACACATGTCACCTTAATTGCATCCATGCTATTCATATGATAATGTAAAACTATATATACATTTATATCTCCTTTAAGATATAACATTTTTCAAGTTCACATATCTACATACAACGGAAGTGACCTAACATTCATTATCATTTATCTGACTAAATAGAGCAATAGTCTCCAAAGCAAACAATATATCAACCTACAGTAAATGATGGGACTATCCCAGTGATCAATAAATACCTGGGAGTCAAATGCTGATAAGTCAACTGAAATTTTTGTCTTGACAGCTAGCATTCATATTAGAAACATAAAATACAACTTATTGATAGTCATTTCAGAGATATATAATTAGCTGTTATTGTCGATTTTATTGTCTGCTTGCTTCAAATCATGAACCAATCTTACAAACTTAAAATTAAAAAAAAAAAATGTGTTACTAAAGTAAAAATAATTTTTCTTTACCTTCTCCAAGTCCTCCGGTTCATTTGGACGGACACCATCCAAGCTTGGAGGAGGGACATTGCCATATAATTTATCAGCTCGGCTCCTTCGAGTTGGTTGAGCATTAAATGGAAGACCAGAAGGTGGTGGTGGTAAAGTCATTTCCATTAGAGCAGGTGGAATGTAAACCGGATAAGGAGGAATTGGTACTGCTTTTCCCCAACCAGGTCTCATTTCAAACCCCATTATTTCCTTTCCTATATTAGGAAAACAATTATAAATATACAAAACAAAAAAAATTAAAAGTAAGAATTTATTTATTACCTTATAAGTGAACAGAAATAACTTTCAAACCAAATATATTTTGGTTTGTTAATCAAATATTACAAGTATATTTTTCAGACTGTTTTTTGTGGTTCCAAAAATTTCACTTGTTTTAAAACAAAACATTACATTTCATTTTTGGTTAAAACAAAGAGACTAATGACAACCTAAAGGAAAAAGTAATTTAATGTAATATATTCAACCATTCAATAATTTTTACAACAAAGTGGAAGGGTATCACATACATTTATCAATAATAAGTAATTTTTTTTTTTCATTTCATTTTTTTTTTTTTTAGCACTATTGTTCATCCAATACAAGGTATGTGCCATTCATGGGTTACTGAATGGGGATGTTTTAAGGGCATACAATGAGGGAGCACTAGTTGCACACTATGAAGATAGGTGAGATAGATAATGGCTGATCTTCAACTTGAAAAGGTTAAGATTGTAGTGACCAGGAAAGCATCCCCTCACAAGTCTATTCCACATTGCAATAGTTCTGGGGAAGAAACTGTCTTGAGTGGAACTTACTCCTTTCCATCAGTTTAGACCATCACAACTAGGATCTGTCATGCCATGTGCACCGAGTAAACTCCTCTTCATTCCCTTGATAATCTACTGGTAGCCCACCTGAACATCTGCCATGAAAACAGCGGTAGAGCAGTGAGAGGCTAGAAATGTTCTATCTGTCAGAGAGGGGTTGAAGAGTGGAAAACAGTCAATACCTACAAAGTCATACAAATGCTTTTAAAACTCAACTGAGGCTAAAAAGTGAGGATTGGGCAGCTCTGGCTCAGATGTGGCAGCAATTCTCCATTTTTGTTCTGATCTGACTCTTGTAGAGATAGCGAATGGCAGGAGAAGACAGGTACTTTCTCGGGCATTATATGGAGCTGACAATATTTGCAGCATCTTTAGCAATGGATCTGAAGCTATTACAGTCAGCATTAGTCGATATGTCAAATTGAAAGCTGAATATGTTTTTGAAAGAGAATCAATTAGTTGCTGCTTTGCATTTTACTTAGAGCTCAAATTTTATTCGAGATAAACAATTAAACTAGCTGGCAATACATAGAAAACAAAGAATCAAATACTATGCAAAGTTTAAAATATACTAATATACTTTTCTATATTAATCTATATTTCATATATACTTTTAAAAAAAATCTGGTTAATTTTACCAAATTTTCAATATACAATATTTAAATTTTTTAACTAAGGAGTTTATAAATCTGGTATCTTGTAAAACATACATATCTACAGGTCATTCATTTCAAATCAACCATTGGCCACAGGTGACCATCTCAGAAAAATATGCAAAAATTCACAAAATCAACAGAACCAGAATTTCAGCATAACAAGAAAAATATGGTTTTAATTCTTGGCAGAAGTTTATCCACAGAATGAAACTTCTCACATGATCTTCAAGCATGTAAGATAACATAAAAAAAAAATATGAAAATTTTCTTAAGCTGGCCAACTGGTTTCCCTGATGTTAGACAATTTTAAGGATGTTTATAAAAAAATGTGAGCAATTTTTAAACAGTAATAATAGGAATGAATAAGGTTACTGCATAGTAAGTCTAAACGACAGGAAACTAATTTGAAAGCTGTATCTGACATACTTTGTAAATGAGCTCTCACAGTGTACATAATCTTTTTGCATTTTGGCTATTTTCAGGACCTTGTAAAAAAGTGCAATTGCATAAGACACACATTAGTAAAACATTAACTAATGTCACAAAGGTCCAAATCTGTATATGCAATATCTTTGGTGTTATGAATGTCAGAAGTTCATCAAAAGCCTTGTTTAGCAAAAATCAGAAAATGCAGTCAAATTTCAAGATGCTCTAATTTAAAAACTATTAAAAGATACAGATTTAGGATTTAGCAAATAAATTTGATCAATTTGTGAATTTTCCCATATTTCAAAGTTTGTTGCATATTGATCCTTAAAATTATCCTAAGGATCAATATGCAACAAGCTTTAAAATGTAGTTGCTACCTTTTTAAATAATCTACTGTTTTCACTTAAATTACTTTAAGAAAAAAATATTAAATTCTTAAGAACAGGAAATTTGCTATTTTCAGAAAACACAGGTTTATGAACTTTATATCAAAAATTTTGGCAAATCTAAACAAGAAGAAATTGAAAAAAAGCTATTAGAAATATTGACATTCATAGCAAATAAAAAATAAAAACTCCATTTACCTTTCAAAGCATTCATTGCTCTCTCACCATCTTTTCGGTTCATAAATGCCACAAAACCACAGTTTCGTCCTCTATTTCGTTCTTCATCAGTCCTTGGCCACATAATTTTTACACTTGCAAGAGGACCATATTTCCCAAATACCTCACACAGCTGTTGTTCTGTCATCTGAAAAGAAAGAAAAAATAAAATAAAAAGCTGAATTAAAAATGTAAAAATTTGTTACACTGTTTACTTGTTCTGTGTTCAAATTTTAAAATACAGGAAAGAAAGAAATTTAACACAGGATATATCATTCAATATCTTAAGATTCATCTTAAACTACAAAAACAAAATTTAGATATCATAATAGAAAGTACTAATATTCACAACAAATAGTAAAAAAAAAAAAAAAAGTAAGAAAGATTAGTAATTATAGTTTATAAACACTTACCTTGGGATTAATATTTCCTACATAAATGTTGGTAGTATTTTCATCTCCTGGATCATACGATCCTAAACGATTAAAGTTTTCACCTAAACTCAGTTGAATAGAGGAAAAAAAAAATTTATCATTAATAAAAATACAGACATATTATAACTATGTATTATTTGGAGAAATTTTTTTTTTTTTTTCCTCTCAAAATAACAAAAATTAAGTAAATTTTCTCATATAACCCAGATTTTTTCTTTTTATTCAAAATAAATAATTTCAAATTAAATAATTATTAAAAAAAAAACAAAAAAAAAAAACAAACAAACATACTAATGACAATATGTAAAAAGTTATAGAAAGTTGAATTGATACATTTTTATCATTGTAAAGTGAACTGAAATTTGAAATTAATTTTTGAATATTTTAGGTAAATATGACATATATGAAAATATCCATCTCATATTTTACCATCTGCATTTGTAATTTATATTAAAACTTAAAGATAAAATTTTCTATTCTTCTCACAATAAAAAAATAATAGTGTAAAATACCATCCTAAACAAATCTATTTGGAAGATAATAAATTAAGTATTTAAATATTCTTTTTGATGTCTTCATGAAGCCAAAATTTTTAATGTATATATTCAAAAAACAATTTGAAGGATAAGAAAAAGTATTCAGACATTTTTTTCTGTCTTCACAAGTCAATTATCCATTGGAATTACAAGTTTTGTTCTTTTTAAACACACACATATATATATATATATATATATATATATATATATATATATATATATAAAAAAAAAGAACAGCAAGATATATAATCCGGGGTTCTTATAGATATTTTTATTTTTACAAAATAGTGCTCAATGTAAATTTACAGAGCATTATAATATATATATATATATATATATATATATATATATATATATATATCATTTAATAAAACATCCACTCAGATATGGGTATCCACTAAAAATAATGTGATAAGTGATAAAATTGAGCAAAATATAAATCCTGAATTCAATTGTCTACACTACTTGCCAAGCTTGCAAATAAGGCATAAAATTTGATTTTTTCAAAGTTGGTTTTTACAAATTTTTGTCAACTAGGAATCATGTAACTCTTGTAAAACAAACAAATATTTAAATGTTTTTTTTTTTCCACGCCTAAAATCATCAGATGTTTATAATCAAATTTTATTTTTTATTCTATTGCTAATGTTTTATTTCTAGAACACACACACCAAAAAAAAAGGGGGGGGGAGAAAAACATGAAAATAGTGATCTTTCTCAATTTTAGCAGCCTATAACTATAAAACTATAAACAATAGAAATAAGATAAAAACTGGAGGGTTTTTTGTGTATCAGACAATATCAAGTTGGTATCTTAGAATACAAATTTATGAAGTGCCAAAGTTGACAAATTGTACTATTTTGAAATCAGCCAAAACTGATACTAAATTTCAAGAGGCTATAATTCCCAAACTAAGGTAGCTCAAATTTAAGGGTTTTTTAGTTTTTCATAGGTGTGTACAACATAGTAAAATTTCATCAAAATATGAGATAGTGCCCATGAGAATTTGGTTGATATGGAATTATATTTTTTTCTCTCACACACATGTACGTATATACATACAGAACATCATCTCACTTTTGTTTATTAGGCATTACATCACTTAGCATACTCTATAATTTATCTTGACTTTAGTTAGCCTGAATACTTATGAGTGTCCTTATATTTTAAAATTTTGAAAACCTTACATTTTTACTTCTTTTTATAAATACTTCTCATATTGCAAAATAAAATCTTCACATTTGCCATGATAAATCAGTCAGAGGACAAAACTCATTGGTAAAGAAAAATTTTCCCTTTGTCTTTATTCATATATATTTTTTTTCAAACATGTTTGGTTAAATAACATCGACAAATTCTATCTATAAAATATTTTATTAAATTTTTCAAAATTTCTGAATTAGTTGTTTTATGTTGTCAGTAAATTTGCCAAAGTTCATATTTATTTTATATTATTTTTTTTCTGGATTGTGTTTTGTGTATATTTTGCAACTTTTTTTATTTATTTCTGGCATTCTCATGGTTGCTGGAACCACTTTCAAGTCACTCAGGGTGATGTCATTTAAACAGCTAATTTGTTAGGATCATTAACTTTTACATCCCAATGGATTATAATTTTAATGGGCATCTGGTTACAATAAATAAATGGAGTCTTTATTTTTGTTCATATCAAGTTGATTGCTGATATAATTTTTTACAAATTTCTTTAAAGCTCATCCTATTTCTTCATCAACAACGGTTTGGGAAACTATTGTTGATAAGTGTTTGCTTTGTTGCTTAATTCTCTATAAAACAATGTATCATTTTAGCATGATAAATCATGTTTTTATAATACCTATTTTATATGTGTGTGGGTATTTGTTTTTATGATTAAGTAGACATGAATTTTTACAAACATTATATTAATTAGATAAGTTGGATCAGTTTATTTAGTCTTAGATAAGTTATAAACAGGTGAAGAAATTTGATAGATTATGGGACACGGCAGTGAGTTTGGTTTATAGATTTTAACGTTTCTGTATAAATAGCAAAAATAATATTCACCCACAATTTTGTTTTATTAATCCTATTTTTGCACTATTAATTCTAATAAGTTTGTTCATTTGTTGTAAATACTACTAACCTATCTTGAACTTCTTAAATTTGTATTATTTAAAGGAATCAATTTTTTGTTATAGTCAGTGCTATTTAAAATAACAAAAATATCAGACGTTTCATTCTTCCTATAATATTTTTGATTTAAGTTCTTTATATGCTTTCTTAAATTCTTTGTTTAAAAGTTTTCTCCCTCTGATAGGGTTATTTTGGTTTTTTATTCTTTCTGTTTTAAGCAATGTTTTTAATCCAGGGTAAATTAAAATGTGTTTTTATCTTTTTATCTTTGTGCAATATTTCAATCTGTTTTTAATATTACCAAAAGTGGAGTAAAAATGGCAGTTTGGTTCAAGGTTGAGTAATTACATTTATATATATATATATATATATATATATATATATATATATATATATATATATATATATGTGTATGTGTGTATGTATTCATTGTACCATGTTATTTAGTGCAGGTATGTTTTGAGATTTTAACTAAAACATAAATAGTAATTTATATACACATTTTTCATTTCATATTTTTTATTTTAATATTTACTTTTTTTAAACTGACATTTGTATATTTAGGAAAGGCCAGGTATTCCTGCTAATTATACAATAATACTAACATAACATTCAAACAATTATTGCTCTGTAATTATGTGACAAAATGCTCTAAGACTCAACCAATTTTTAGAAAAACATTGGAAATGCTGAAATTTTCAGAAGGACTTGTTACCTTTACCTCATTCAATTTATAAAAATCAATGAGAAAAAAATACATTGTAAATGTTTTTTTGGGTTGCAAAAATTACTTTTAAAATTACTTCACATGTGAATTGATCCATTAAATATTAAATGGAAATTATACCTGATCCTCTAGGTCCCAAGATATTTGAACTAGTTTCTAAGCTTAAGTCAAACCTTGGTCCAGAGTGTTCTTCCACTTCATCTTCAGTATTATTTCTGAATTGCTTTTTCAACCGATGCCGTTCTTGCCGCTCTTCTTGAATCCTGTAATTTGTTAATGATATGTGTTATCTGCTTCAGATTGACTTGAAATAGATGAGGATTCATTCAACATTGATATTTAATAAAAAAAGTTATATAAAAAAAGTTACAAATTGTATAAAAAACCTAACACCAAAATTTTTTGTGAATTTTTTTTTTTTGGCATTGACTTATAATTATTTTATTTATAACAAAATAGTCCTGCAAATTGAACTTTTAAAATTAGAAAACTAAATTCATCATGAGTTTGCAAATAATCATCCCTAGTTTCTAACACAAAAATCAGTAGAACATAGAAAATAGTTTTAAAATAGTGCTTTAAAACTTACATGGTCTACATGTAAAGAGTTATTTTAAGTGCACATACTATGGAATATTTAATAAAAATAATTATCTTGATGTGTTACAAATTGCACTTCTGTACAAAATACTGGGAAAGACTCACTGCATGTTCACAAAGGAAGCAAAAGATAGTAATTAAAACTACAGTGAGAAATGAAAACACAAATCCTGTTTCCAGGATTGGTTGCTTATTCAGGACTGTGCGTGCATGGTCTGGGAGATAGGTAGGTGACACTTGGAGTAATTGTTATCTATGTCATGATAGGATACAGATCAGCTTTTCCCTTCAATCAGCAAAAAACCCATTCCTCCATCATGACATGCTGCATTAGATCTAACTTGACAACTAGCATGAACCCAACAATAGGTAATCCAGAATTATCCTTTAATTTATGTTGATTTATATTCTAACTTGCCAGTATTGCCCAAATGAAAATTTAATTTTATTCAGTTTTTTTTTTGGATTGATCCCAAAGTTTAAATTTAAATTTTATTTTATACACACACACACACACACACACACTAGATTCCAGCTTGTGTGATGGCATTCCCAGGAATGATTCAATGAGTTCAGGAACTTTATTGGATAATTCACTGCCTGCTCTTGTTCAACCACAGTTTGTCAATGGAAAAAATAGCTTATGTACTTCATGCTTTCTTTTGGAATTTCTTGGAGAAGTTTCCAGTTGATGCTATCCACAGTTTGATTCTTGGGAGCTAATATGGCCCTCTCATCAAAAAGCCAGTTTGAATCCATGAAATGGTGTTTAATGTTTGATAAACATGGTTAATCAAGTCTTGGATACTTGAGACTGAAACTCCACAACCATTTGGGAGTGAAATATCTCCATTTTGGTCCATTTTGATGGTTCCATTGCCAAACTGCAACAACAAAAAAAAAAATCTTCCTGCTTCAAGGTCACCTCTGATTCTAACTTTCATGTTTGTTTTCAGGCTGAGTCTTTGAACATAGCTCCAGATGTAAAAAATTTTCAGGCAAGCATTGATTTCATCAGCTGGAGTTCCTCTTGCAATAACTGGTAATGTTTGTCTAAAATCACCAGAGAGAGCAACATGTGATACCTCCCATGATTTGTGAATTCTGTCTAATGTCTTTCCAGTGTTTTGTCCAGGGCCTCAAATGCTTCAATGTTGTGTTCCATGGTACATTCATCATCAGACAATGAAGCTTGTCTCCTCCAGTAGCTTAGCCAAGTTGGTTCCTCTTTTGCTGTTGTAAATAGGGGTTTCATTGTAGTTCAAATCCAATGGAAGTTTGAAGGTGATGTGTGCTGTATGTCCTCCAGGCAAGAGGGTAGCAGCAATTCCAGATGATGCTACTGCTAGAGCTACTTTTCTTTGGAGTCTCACTGCAGATAAAAAAAGGTTAGTTACAAAAGTTTTACCAGTACCTCCAGGTGCATCCAAAAGAAAAAATCCCTCCATTGTTGTTGCTGATGTCATCAAGGACCTTCTGATACACTTGCTGTTGGTCTTGGTTCAACAGGGGCTCATTGTTTTGAACACATTGCCACAGTTCTTCCATGTTGTATCCTGTTTCTCTCAAAATTTCTCTGTTGATTTGTCCAGTTTCTCTGTTTGGATTTGGCAGACCAAAATTGCTGAGATCTCTTTGAGCCAAGTTCATCACTTTGTCTTCAATTTCACAGAGAGCTAAATTTGCAATCTGAGGATTCAATTCCAATCCTGGATGAGCAAGTCTCATTTGATGAAGAATATCCTCACTGAGAGCCTCCTGATATTTTTTCCAAAGAGTAACTGGGTTGGAAAGTTTGCAGGTGGCAATCATTACTGCAAACAGATCTTTGACTTGTTTTGGAGAATTTGTTGCAACTGCTTCATCCACAGTCATATCCCAATGATGATCATCTTCTGTAAGGCCAAGCTTGATACAGGCTTGTCTAAATCTCTTTGACAACTCCATCAATTGTTCTCAAGTCTTGAAATGATATTGGGCCGCTTATATGATGAAGCAACAGTCTGAGAAACATTCAGGATTTCTTTGATAGACTGTATATACTCTTCCAAGTACATTTCTCATTTTGATTCCAGGATCAGTTGGAGGAGGTTTTCCTTGCTGTCTCCTCTGAAATTCTCCAGCCTCGTAGGTGTAGTATTTGTAAACTTTAGGGTACAGGATAGTTCTTGCAAAATCAACATTTTGACACAGTTCTAAAAATTCCATTAGTGTTGTGTTCTTAGGGGTTTCAGCCAGTTCTCTTGTATTTTCTTCTATGAAGTAAACTCTTTGTCCATTTTCCAAGTGAACAGAAGGACTTTGGCCATGAATTGGAAAGCTAAGGATCCACCAGGCAGACTCATTGGAAGAGATATATCAGTCTGTTAGAAACTTAAACTTCATTTTGATTTTCCATACTAAATACTACTTGGTCATTTCCCTTGTTAATGTATTTACATACAGATTTGATTGGCATGATGCTGTTGCAGTACTCTGCATTTATGTGAGCACCAAATGCTTTGCTGAGCAGTGGGCAAAAAGGAACAACCCACTGATTGTCAATGACAATTTCTTGTCCTCTTTTATTCAGAGTGAAAGTGTGACCTCCATCTTCTGGCTTTCTTTTATATTTTGGATAGCCATCAAGATCAGACAGAGTCTCTTTGGTAAACTGCTTTGGAAAGTTTTTGCTGCACTTTTTGTCAATCATGCAAGGAGATTCAAAATTGAGAGAACCACATGGACCATGAATCATGTTTTTTTTATGATTTCAAAAAAACTGGATCTTCAGTGGGATTTGGCAGCTCAGCACTGATGATAGCATCAATTTGATTTGGATTGATTTTCTCCTTGAACCAAACCAATAGATGACAATGAGGCAGTCCTCTTTTCTGCCACTTAGTGGTGCACATGTGAGCCCTGACTTCTCCAAAAATGTTTCCTTTCCTAATGAGATTCAACAGTTTGTCAACTTTCAGCTTAAATACTAGAGATACAATGTCATGAGGATCAGCTAGCAGATTGACCTTCTATCAAATTGTTACTTACTTCAAGCCATAATGGGCTGCAAGTAAAGGTAATGAAGAGGTCATTCTTCCCAAAATTTCTGACATATGTAATTCCATCTTGAGTCTTGTACCTGTCACCTCCTATACATGATGATGGAAGAGTGGCTTTCTTTCCAGTGTTGAGTGGATCACCATCTTTTTGAACAGCATCTTGGAGGCGAATGTAGCTTCCCATTCAAAGTTCTCATTGGTGGCATGTGATAAAGAGTAACCTCTCCATTTCAATTTTTGCATACATATCAACCAAGAACTGGTTGAAGAGCTGCTTTTATCTCAGTAGGTGATTGAATTTGTTAGCTTTTAACATGATTGTGTAGCAATAGAAGTCTTGTGCTGAAACTTTCTTTCATGTAGTTTCCCTAGTTTCAGCATTAATTTGTTTCAGAAGGAAGTAATAACCATCCTGTCTTTGCCAGAAAATAAGTGGATACTGGAGAGCATCATAACTCCTGTCTGTTTCAGCAGCTTTCCTTAGGGATCCATTTTGTTTCTCTATCACTGTCTCTTTTTTCAAATTTCTGACCTCCAATGAGTACTGCTACTTCAGGTGCATTGAATCTTCTCCCATGCTCTCCAACAAGTGTCTTATCAGTGCTAATGATTAATCTCAAGTTCTCCAGTCCATTTCTCCAAAGGGAAGATTTAAACTCTTTAACATATGGATTTGTTTGAAGAAAGTTCAAAATTGTCCTTAGTTTCAAATCCTGAAAGAGATTATTCCTGGTCTCAGATTGGACTTGGTGATCTTCTAGAAAATAGATTTGGAGAAACTTCTGGAGTTAATTTGGTAGAGGCTGCATACTGCCAATCCGATAGTATACTTGCCCTTGGATTCTGAATGTGGCCTGCCATCCAGGCAGAGTTGCATCATTTGCTCCAAAAGAAGTCATTGCAAGCTCTAATTTTCTTCAGGAAACCCTGGGACTCATGGGCGGATCCAGCCAAGAATGACTTGATTGATTCTGGTGGAGCTGGAAAGTCTGGGAGGTTGAATCTTTCCACTGGATATTCATCCTTGAAGTTCAATGCTCCACAATAGTTGCATTCTTTGTTTAGTTCTCCAACAATCACAATAGGTAGGGAGGAGTCCTCTTGATTGGCTTCATATTGAAAATCAAGTTTGGACTGCATTCTGTCTTGATCTTTTATTTGAAAGCTCTCCGGTGATTCTGACTCCCTGACTCTCTCATGTTGATTACATTGGAAGATCTCCCAAATTCAGCTTGTTCATGTTTTTAATGCCCTTTCTCTCCTCTTGGTAAAAGCATTTGATGCTCTTCTGTATGCAGCTTGGTCCAGAGTTTGAGAGTGTGTAAGTCTTAGCATATTCTCAACATTGGAAGCTCACCTGACTGCCATTTGTTCTTGGTTTTCATCTGCATGGAATTTTCTTTTCCTCACTGAAGCATTGGCTCTTGATTGCAATCTGGTCCTCTGTTGACAGTGATTTCTTTTTGCAAGGCATATCACTGCTGTATGTGATAGGCAACAATAAACTACAGAACTCAAAATTGATCACTGCATTTAAGTATTGCATTAATATTTAAGCTTACCTTTAAAAATTCAAAGATAATTCTTCTGCTACCACTTAATTTAAGGACAATTTGATGTAT